AGTTGAATGTGAATGAACTTGGTGTTTTATTAAGAAATAGTAAGTTATATTATTAGTGACCTGATGTTCTTAAGGTTGGTCTGAGGTAATGGTCTATAATTTGATTAATTATCTGATGATGTGTTCAAATTTCAGAGTACTCTACGCATGTAACACGAAAAAATTGGCAGATCAATGTACGCAAGGAGGTGACGTGTGTGAGTTGGTGATTGATGGTTATTATATAGCAGTGGCGTTGTGCTCTGTTGTTGGCATCATTTGGTTCCGATTAATTTTCAATAAAATCAAATACTTCCAGAAAATACCACGGTCAGACTGGAGTGTATGTAAAAAGTGATTCGAATCATTTAGCAATCGATTGATTGACTGATCTTATAGTGTATTATTGTGATGCAGTATTATGAGTATTATTATTATTATTGCTGTTGTTATTAATAATGCATGAATAATGATCGCTTATGAGCCGTTACAAGATTCTCCTAGTGTTTTCACTTTAAAAACGTCGAATGGGTTCTACTGTTTGGTGTTTTACTGTATTCTGTGTTCTGTTCGTGCCAGTTGTTCTCGTGGAACGGTTTGTATTCGTACTGAAAAGCTAGTTCATGGTATGTGTAAATTATTAATAATTATCATAACATTCACATTACTATCTCAACGTTTGATCACAAAAATTTTCTTGATCTACCCCTGATTGTGAATATATATTCACTTACGGTATAGTTGATATTCCATTTTGAGTTGTGATATTCAACGCAGACCGTAATATAATATATTGCGTATTATTTCGCATGTCCTCTTGATAAATTGATAATTTTAGCATTATAGCTAAAATTATTATTGTACGTGTTCAATTGAAATTATTGTGCGTATGCTGTTATTATTATTATTGTTATTATTGCTGTTATTAATGTTATTATAATTAATAAATAGTTCAAAGTCGAAGAATTTGATGATTTGAAGACATACTTCTTTAGGAAATTAAAAAATGGCTCATAACTTTTGACAACTGCAAAATTTCGCTCCGGCCTATGGTCTTTGCTCCACCCTATGGTCTTTTCGAGTGCAAGTCAAAGTTTGACTCTGTTTTCCTGTCTGATAGAATTGGAATCGATATAGTCTTTGCGGATAAAGAAGTATGGAAGAGGTATGTCTGAATGTTTAAAATAAATCAGATGAAATACGACGTTGCTTAATGTGATTTGATTATTATCATAATAATTGTTGTCAGCGTTGTGATGATCGAAATGTGCGATTGAATGTTGTTTTCTGTATGTGATTTGTGCTGTTTTGATTTGTAATAGTAAATCAATTGAACAAATTTTTATTATTACTATTGAATAATAAATTAAAATAGTATGTTCTTACTCGCGAACACTACACAAGAAGTTCTTCTCGTCTATAGACTCAAAAAACTTAAAAGGCAAGCATTCGAGGTTCACAATCAATCGTGAGAGCTCCGTGGTGGAAGCAGAAGCTTTCAATGACTTATGAAGATCTAACTTATATCTTATAAAGATTTCCAACAGCTTCAATAACTTTCAATAGCTCACAGTAACTTGTGAAGCTCCAGAAGCTTCCGAAAACAAGCACAGGACGCTTCTTCCAGTCCAAGGGTCGGAGCTGAGTCCCAGATCGCACTTCAACCCCGACATAATCAGGGCATCCGGCAACTTTTGAAATATAGAAGTGTTACATGTTCATAGAATTCTTTTTGATCTACTGCGTTCACAATTGATCAGAAAACACTTTAGTTAACAACAAATCATGCGGGTAGTAGCATTATAAGGTCTTCAAACAAAATATCAACATCACATGACAAGTACAATTCAGATGAAACATCAACAATTAAAGTTTCTGTTACAATATCTGATTAGCTCATATCTGTACGCTTCATCAGCCACTGGCAGCAGATAACGATTTCGTATCTCCGTACAAATGTAATTCAGAGACAATAGAATTGTTCAATATCATGGAGAGTGACACTCAAGCGTTGTTCTTTTTTAACTGATAGGATTCATCCAGAGTCACACTGAATTTCTCACCACGTAGAGAATCTCCTTATTGATAATGATTGTTTTTTTCCGTTTCAAACTGATCCATTAACAAATCCTTGGCTGATCCGAAGTGCTTGAAGAATGGGATTACGACTTAAAACTTGAACCATCAACAGAGCAAAGCTTGGCGATCATTTCGTTAAATGGATCAGTAGTCAGCGCAACACTAGGTTTAAGGTGTTTGGTAATCTCTTCTGATAGTGGGTCTCTTCTGATTTCTGAATTATTTATTCCGTTGCAGAATATTGCATTGTGTTTTGAATTTAAATACACAAATAGTCCTTTCGTGGACGATCCTTTTGATTCGTTAAATTTCACCGCACAAATTACATTTCGCAATTTCATTGTCTTCTTTGAAAAGAACATATTGCCAGCATCGAGAATGATTGCCACTCTCGTTGTAAATGAATGCGAATTGATGGAGCCTAAAAAAAACGGAAGACAAAGCCACGGTTATGAGGAAATATAAAGCACGAGTGATGACATTATGAAACACTTGTTCGTTGTTTTGTAAAAAACGAAAGCCGAGCTGGCGCCTTAATAAAATGATTCACTCACCCTTTCATTACCGTTTAGGTGATAAATTATTGACTGCTTATGAATAACCTTCATCTTGCCAATTTAGATTCAAATACCACAGCATTTGATATCATGCAAAATGCCTTCATCGAATTTTCATCGAATCCCGAAATCCCCAAATTTTTCTGAGCCTAAATCTCGAATCAGGATGCACAAGTCGGGATGCTAGTAGCAGCATCGATTATTGATAAAAATGGTCTTGTACGTGATTTTCTCAATGACGAATTTAGCTGTCGTTGACAGAGGCATCATAAAACTATAAGCTTCTGTTCAATTTTTCAATGTTTGATTTCTTATTGAAAAAATCGTTCTCATGAGATTTTTGATGCGATCAAAAAATTTTTATGTTCTGAGATCACATGCAAACGCTGAGCACAGTTGAACTCATCGGATGGCTCCATCGCTTTGACTTGATGCACCAATCGGTATACCGATTGAATGGTGTTCAACGATATTCGCGGTTTGAAATAGGATATCAGCTGTGAAATCGAATGAGATTAAAGAGGATCGATCTAAGAGGATTAGGCGAATCGAAACGGATAAAAAACACACATCCAACTTATATTGTGCATTATGTAATATCGCTCGTTATGTAACAATGAAAATGATCATTTCTTTATTGTATTATTTGATGAATAGATTATATACATATATTAATGAGATACAATAAAAACTTGTGTTGATCGAAAAGATTTCGAAAAGCTGATCTTTCTTTCAGCCGCATTTTATGATCAAAAATATGATCAAATTTATGATCAAAGTTTTATCACTGATTTCGGATTTGTAATATCTTCAAAATCATCAAAAAATATCACTTTCGTGCTAGATACCTTCCGTCTTGCATTGTGGGCATTAAATATTGCCTACAAAAAATATTGAAATCGAATGGAATATCGCTCGTTATGTAACAAGAACAATG